TCTCAAGACTTGAGACTTGACTTGGACCTGAGCTCTCAAGACTTGAGACTTGACTTGGACTTGAGCTCTCAAGACTTGAGACTTGACTTGGACTTGAGCTCTCAAGACTTGAGACTTGACTTGGACTTGCAAAAAATGACTTGTGAACATGTCTGCTTGCAGCAAGTTGCAGACAGTCAATATTCTGCAGCAGAGTGAATAGGGTCGTTGACTTTCAGCAGATTAAATTGAGATTAGTTCAGCCATAAATAAAATTTAACAAGGTATCTGGAACCAGGCCTTTAAAATCTGGGAGAATCCAACAAGTTTCAGGACAGATGGAGATGTTCCTATTCAAAATATAAATAAAAAACCCAGATTCAAGCTAAAAAAAGAGTGAGAGCTTCAAGCTTCTGAGCCTTGGTGCCGATTTAAGACACCAAACGGGCCCAGGATGCACGCAGAGGTTGTTGCTTTCCTTTTAGACAGGTGACTTAACATGTTAAGTAATGCTAACTATATGATCTGGTTGAATTTTCTCTGTAAAGGGACTTGTGATAACATGTTTTGTGAATTGGCGCTTTAGTACCCAAGGCAGAACACTTATTAAAGTCATATAAACACCACAGTATCCTCACCTTGTTAGTTTTTCTAATACTGAGCAGCCCTTAGATGTTAAACACACACATATTCAGTTTATGCAGAGAGATTTAAAAGTTTTTCTTGCTTTTTCATTGTGGCCCTAAAAGAGAAACCGTAATAACATCTTATTTGAGTATCTGCTATGGCGCCCCCTAAGGGCAGCAGACAGAAAAAGAACAAGGAGGGCAAAATAAACAAACCAGAAGTGGAGGGTGAGTTAAACACTCCTTAATTCCAATATAACAGTATAAACAGGCTTTCTGGCAGGGAATCAGCTTTCTTTGAAAGGTGGTCCACAAAGCAAACACTGCCCCCGTGTGGCCAGTTTAAACATCATCACCTGAAGCACCAGCCTGGATTCATTTTCAAAGGGGACATGTCATTTAAAGTCAAACATTTTGAGCTTTAAAATTTTTTTATAAAGACCTTACATTATTAAAATCAGACTCTTATGCAAAGAAAGAAATATATTTTTAAATGTTGATTTTCAGTGTTTGATATATGTTCTTAAAAATGATAGCGACTAACGGATGCGAATATAAAGTATTCCTTATGATTACAGGTTATTTTTATTTCTTTTCTTCTTTTATTGTATTACTGTTTTTATCTACGGTGGTTGAGATGCGTTTGGAGCAGCTGATCCATGAACCCAAGGAAGATTTAATCCGAGGTGGACTGATAAAGCTACTTTGACTTTGGCATTAGGGACAAAATGCTTTAATCAGAGGAGGTACGACTGGATCCAGACAAAACAGCAGAATGTCGAAAAACAAAGCGCAAGTAGTAGAAAGCAGAGATGATTACAAAAAAATTTAAGGACTAGGAGTAAAATTTTGTCTAAAATATAATTCCTCCAGTAAAGTATAGATAGCCACAATTTCTACAAGACAAGAAAAACAATGATTATTTAAATGATGACCAAACCCAAATATAAATAAAGGTCATTGTTATAAAAGGAACTCTTTCAGCAGTCGGCTCTTTTAAAGCCTAAATTTTCCCAGCAGGCCTCCTGTACCTACCGTTAGCAGGCTCAGATGAATGAGGAGCAGAATGAGGAGCAGAGTGGTGAGCACGGCTCCTCCTGCTGACGCAGCGCCCATCGCTGTTCTCCACTAGAGGGTGCAGGCACGCCCCGCAGCGGGAGCCGCCTGGCCGGCAGAACTGTCGTCCCGCCCGAGCGCAGTCCAAACTGCCAGGACATCTGTGAGACCCTGAGGAGGGAGAGACAGCACAGGTTGGACTCACTGGAACTGGACTCTGATCCAGTCAGATGGGTTAAAGGAGTGCTGAGGAAAACCAGCCCACTGCATCCAAAGATGTCAGAGATCTGCTATTTGTGGCCTAGTCAAAGCTTCAGCAGCTTGTTTTGGTAAATCTGCAACATTTTTGTCATTTCAATCACCCAAAATACGTTGAAAGTAAATGTATGTATGTAAGGTTGGACACTTGGAGGTTAGATTTTAATTGCTCGTTTCTCTGCCTGTATTCACTGACAGGTTTATTTGCTGGAGGGTTTTGTTTCTATTCATGTTCAGTAGGGGTGTGCAAAATAGTCGTCATGATGATGCATCGTGATTCTAATTTTCGTGATCTACTGCATCGATTCTTGACACCAAGTATCGATTATTAATAAAAAAAAATAAATAAATAAAATTGCATGAATGGTTGGCGAACATCAGCCAAAAACAAGTGTAATACAACTTCCAGTCCAGTAGATGTCGCTGCGGATGTGTTGAAGCATGCTGCCTTGTGTCACAAGCATTTCCGGCCGCGGGATACTGCGCCGAGTCATTCAAAAACATAACATGGAGGAGAAAATATTGCAATGCATCGCAATAATTCAAGTATCGTGATGTATCGTGATAGAATCGCATCGTGACGTCTTTGGCAATACCCACCCCTAATGTTCAGGTGAATTTAGTTAGATTGAAAATGGATGTTTGGTTTGGTTGATGTTGACTGATCTCTTTGGTGTGTATTTTATTGTTTGTCGAACAAATTGTCTTAAATATGACAATTTGTCTGCAGGTGTAGTGACAAAATGTTCTAATATTTTTTAGAATTATAGAATTCCAGAAAATAATTAGCTAAATCTTTGCTCTTTGCAGCGTTTCACCTCCGATCATACTAGTTTAGATCAGACAGAACAGCGACGGTCGTCGCTGGGATCCATTGGAACCAAGCAGGACCTGAAGAAGCAGGTCGGTCCAACAGAAAGCACAGCGAAAGCGGCCGGCCTGCTAGGCCCCAGAACTCCATGCTCCGGGAGGTGATCAGCAAAGGAACCTTTACAGGTCTGTTGTGGGAACTGGATCGGGCCTTTCAACCTTTGGGCCAATGTGGCGTTTTATCTGGATGGAACTATATCAGATGTCCTTCGCTCTGCCAGGGGTGGATTTAGGAAATTTAATCAATTAAATATTAATTAAGGAACACACTTATTATTATAAGCGTTCTGATGGCATTTTAGCCAAAGGATTTTTTATCAAAAACATAATTAATGTGCACAAATAAGGAATAGTTGTATTAACTATAGATGTAAACTGAGTTTTATGGGGCCCCATAAAGTATGGAGGATAAAAAGTGCCAAAATTAAATAAATAAATACAGCATTAAATAAATAATTAAATGTGTCAACAATTA